TCGGGCCGTTAAGACCTACCAGTTGAGAAACTCCTGTTTTGGCTTGACGAAGAGAGGCTGGATAACGGAATAGGCTTCTAGGGTCAGAGGCAAATTTGTCCATAAGCTTTGTCTGGTACTGAAGCCCTTCTTCTCTTACAGCCTTCGTGCATATGTTCGTGATATGTTTATATTGCCTATACGCTCTGTCGTTATCAGTTCGTTTGTATTCCGCCCAACAGCGCCTTTTGCGGCTTAGCAGACGAAGGGTACGGTTCTTGATTACTGTAGGTGGCTTGCAGCTTTTGGGAACCGTTTGAGGAACTGAGTGTTTTGTAGCACATAAGAGCGTGTGCAATGAGAAGTCCCAATGACCGTCCACATCGAGTTGGGGGTGAACATCCCAAACCACCTGTTGTAGATAGTCATGTAGAGCTGGCACATTCAGCCGTTTAAAATTCCAACGAAAATTATTGTTGGGATACCTTAGCTTAGTTTTGATGACAAAACTGAAGGCTATGACGGCATGATCGCTCTTTCCCAGAGGAGCCAGGATTGAGAGGTTGTCAACCAGGAATTCTTCGTTTGTGAATACACAGTCTAAGTGCGATGGTGTCTGACTGTTTCTCCAACGAGTTGCCGACCTCACATTTTCGTACAATCCCAAGTCATCGATAAGGTTGAAGAACCGAGCTTCAATTGAGTTGTTGCCTCCAGTATACGTGTGTTCCGCGAAGTTGACTCTGGGGAGATTAAAGTCCCCTAGAATCAGGATGTGTGTGAAACCGAGACGAGTAGAGCGGGATAGTCCTCCCAGCATACGACTATCATACTCGATGTCGGCAGTTGGATTCCTGTAAATGACTCCGACTAGACACCTCGAAATACTGGACAATCTTACAGAGCGCCTTATAGATTCTTCAAGATTGTTAAACTCGAGGTTATGAACTTGATGCACCTCCAAGCAAGAACGTATGTAGACAGCTACTCCGCTCCCATATCCTGATTTTCTGTCATTGCGGAACAAAGACATCCCAGGTAATGCTAACTCATGGTCCGAGAATTGAGAAGATATCCAGGTTTCAGATATTCCTATCAGATGGGCCGTATTAGCATTGCTAAGTTCGTGTAGTTCATCCAATTTGTTTGGTAGACTCATATATAAGCAGTTTGTGCTTCCAATTTGAAACGCGTGAGCTTCTTCCTGTTTGTCTGTATGAGCCTCACGTGAATGGACAGGTAGCCCACCTACATGAGGTTTGCCGAAGTGATAGGCCCTGTCCTTTACACGTTTTTTATCATTTAGACAGTCCACAAGTGGAATGATCAGCTCCAACTTGCCTTTGTACTTGGTCCTAGCTTCATATGGCCTATCCGGGTGCATGTGGATTCCAGGTGGCAATCGACGTCTGTTGGTACGAATTGCTTCCAGAACTGCAGCCGCCATGTGGGAAGATGGGAAGGTTATCTTCATTAGACGGGGTCTAAGATCACCGTCCTTCTTGGCTAGTCTCGTCACATGCTGAGTCAGTATGTGTTTGAGCCTCAAGGACTGTTTGATGAATTTCCATTCCCTGATGTCAGAATTTGATTGAGTAATGTCTGCATTTTCCGGTATACCTTGCACAATTATGTTTCTTCCGCGGAAAACCTCGCGAGATTCTTTAGGGATGTTCCGTATGACATTGCGCTCAGAGTACGGTATGTCGGGCAATATTCTTACGTTACCATCGGATTTCAGAAAGTGACTTGCTAGCAAGACGTCCTCTACGTCGGTATCATTCTTAAGTGTTACTTGGAGAAGCCTCGGATGATTTAGATGCTTAGAATTTTTTCCTCCAGTGAGCCGGGTGACCGTCAAAGGCTCTATTCTAGGAAGTTCGAGCTACTTGTTCAATTCACCCCAGAGCATCCTGTCATTTTTGTCCTGTAGACTGAGAGGAAGGTCAGGATTGTCAACGAGGTTCATGATAATGAGAGAATCGTCACGAACTGTTGTTAATTTACAAGGTTACACGATGGGTTCAGGTTTAATAACTTGTTGTTTGGAGGTCAGTGCGCGTTTTTGAGTCTTTGGCTCTTTATTGACCAGACGAACAGTCTTGTGGGTAGACTGTGCAAACAAATCACCAGTTATTTTCCGTGCAGCAACACTTGGGTTGCTCGGCTTAGGCGATGATGCCTGGTTCTTTTGGGCTCTCTTAACGTGGGTCGAATCACCTACAGGGTTTTTGGGAACCACTGTTGTGTTCAGGGACCCTGAGCTGGGAGACCCGAGTTTGCTTAGGGAGTCTAGTACCGTCGACGTGATGATGGTGCTGAGCCTCGACACGTCGTCATTAGTGTTGATGGATGCTCCATCGATGGTATACCTATCGACATCCCTATTTTTGAGTCCGTCGCACGCTCTTGTTTGTCGACCGGTTTTTTTTACTATCGTTAACCAAGTTAACTGACTTGTTCCGAAGACCTGTCAGAAGGACAATGATGTTACTCAGCAAGACTACTGCGTCCGTGCTGCACGTGACACATACCCACTTTTGGTCTGACTTGCCGAGTCTGTTGTAAGCAGTTGCTGTCAGATCTGTGCATGCTTCGTGGAACCAACCTTTGCAGTTGTCGCACTGCATGCCAGTTGTAACAGCAAAACAGCATCCCGGACGTTTGCATGATTTTTTCATGACTATGTTGAAGCGAACTATGTTATGGATGCTTGCGAAAGCCTAAGACCTTTAAAAAACACTAAAAGGCACACTGAAAACGGACAAAAATGGATAAAACGAGTGATATAAACTGAAACTGGTCTGTACGTGAAAAACAAAAACAAACCGAATAGTAAGCTGAGGCAAAACCACAGGTAACTATTAAATATGGTGAAACTAAAAAAAAGTAATCTACCGAACGTATAGCTCAGGATAGATTCTTTAGAACTGAAATGGTACTTTTGTTGCGTAAGAACACAGCAAAAGTTTGATAAATGCAATTCAAACCTTAGTTTGGATCCAACAAATAAATCAGCTTTTACTCAACCTTTCTACCGTCGATGCATTACATCTGGTCCTCAATGATTCGTCTACTGAAGAGAAACACTTGGAATTGAATAAAAGGATGTGAAGCAGGTTTTTGCATATTGAAGACTATTATTAACTATTGTCCGTTCATGTCAATCATTGTATCTGAGGGTACTTCAGCTTTTGGACTCGGCGGTGTCATCTCATATCAACTTCTGAACGCGTTAGAAAAGTCTATTATGCATTCATCCCACACATCAACTCCGGCAGAAAATTACAGTCAGATAGAGAAGGAGGCATTAGCCCTTGTCTTTGCTGTGTCTCGTTCCCACAAGTTTTTATATAGTTGAACATTTACTCTACTAACAGGTCATAACCGTCTCCTGAAATTTGTTTGCTTGAACTCTGTTATTCAAAGCCATTCTTTAAGTCGTCCCCATGGTCAGGCAGAGGCTTTGTCACGACCTATCAAAGAAAGACATGGTTATCGTCTCTCTTTCAACAGAAGACCACGCAGGATTTTGCTTGACTACTGCCATTCGTGGTGACATGGAGCCTGATATTTGGAGAGACATTGATTGTGCCAGAATCCCTGTAATCTAATGTTTTGTAGTAGTTTCTTACTGGGCTGAGAATGGCCCACAGCCTGATGCTGCCAAGAACGACACCACTATAGACTAAGTTTCAGGAGCTACCGACGTACGAGGTTGGATGTCCGGTGTTCGTTTCGGAATACAGACCAAACCATGATCTTTGGGCAGACGTACGTGTGGTCAGAATGCGGATACTTGTCATGTATGAAGTGGAGGTGAGAAGAGACAGGTGGACTCAGTACGAGAGCCATAAACGTGAACGGTTAGCCCCGGATCTCCCATTGATAAACATAGATCTATCGCCTGACGTTCTGATAGACACCTTCAAAGTAAGACGGTTGCAAAGATAGACGTTCATAAACAAATCGACCAACGTCCCAGGAGGTGGTCACATCGACAACAACTACAAACAGTCAAGATGTAAGTAAACACCCAGCAAATAAGCTATTAAAAATGGAGTGGTGCCAAACTTATTCTTTTTGTGATTTAACTGTAGAAATCCGAGTTACAAGTTTTCTCGCCAAAATTTCATTTTTTATCTTCAGTTTGTGTTTCCCATCTGGAAGTGTGTTAAACGTCATTGGTTAGTTCTTGCTTCCAGAACGTTATCTTGTGACATTTTTCAAGGATATTTTGTCGCATATAAACGCATGAGTTATGTACTTGATGTTTGGTCTTTCAGGATGCTTATGGAACTGTATATATATATATTTGGATGTATCTAGCCTTCTTCCTCTAGTTGACAGAGGAATAGCTAGGTTTGTCCTGTTGTTGAGTTGTTGACTTTCGTGCTGCTCGCGGGTCCTAAGTGATATCTTTATCTCTCGAACATAGCAATAGAGCTTTTCACAAGCTGTGTTTTATACTCTCTCCTGAGTCTTTCCAGGGTTAAGGGGTTACATTTATGATCTAACGCTATAGAGGCTGCTTTGGTTAGTACCTAGTGGCCTAATATACTTTAACAGCATTTTGTTTTGAAGAGAAAAGGATTTGAGTTTTAGTCCGAAGGAAGTTGAATATTTACGAGGTCCACTCCATAGTACTCTGAGTTGGCAACTTATCTGGATAAATCCCTTAAGACTGTTCAGTCGATTCTCACATAGACTTCAATTTTGATTGTCCATGATCCTGTGTGCATGAGGATTTGGACATTTGCCTCATACGCTTTTACACAAGCTGCGACTGATTCGTCATTATTGGCTGAGGTAGGAACGTTAAAACTTTACAAAGTGGTAACACATGATCTAAGTTTGTGAAGTGCTACAGACTGCACGGATTAATAGGTTGATAGACATCATATCCTCACTACTGATGTATTGGACAAGCAGATGAAGGTCATCCACTTTCAGTACTTGCGTTATAATAGTCATTATCCATTACTTTGTGATCTAATTACGTAACTCGAGAGGAGTGTGTTATGTCTTCTGATGTTATTCTAAATTATTACGAGTCCCTTCTACACAGAGATGATCTAGATACTTTGAAGGAGGGTTGTTTCGTCAATGATAACATAATCACATTCCATCTGGAGTACCTTCGCCATACAAAATTATGCCACTCGTCAAATATTCTTCTTATGGATCCAGCAGCATCTCAACTTTTAAAATTGATGGATGAGGAATCAATTAGATTGGTGCTGGATCCTCTAGAATTCAAGTCAAAGGATTGGGTATTTTTAGTGATCAATGATTCTGCTTCACGAGTTTCATCTGGTGGATGTCATTGGTCACTGCTGGTTTATTCACCACTTCTTGTACACGGTTTTTACCTGGACTCCCTGAACTCTAGTCCTAATTTTTCAGAGGCGATCACTTTGTGTAACAAGTTATGCACCTATTTAGGTGTTTCTTTTGTAGATATGAAGCTACCTAATGTCATAAAGCAAAACAACGGATATGATTGTGGAATATTTTGCATGGTATTCATAGAAATAATATGTGATATGATATTGAAAGGTGATATGTCCTGGCAGATGAGTCTGTCCACTGACATGGTTTCCCATCAAGTAATGCACAAAAGGAAATCGTTACTAGAGTGTATCTATGGCTTATCCACAGCAAATGCGTAGGTTTGTCGCCAAAATTTCTAAAAGGGTCGTGAACTAGCAAACATAAACAGACCTGGTGTCTGTTTGGCGTTTTCTCATTTACAGACTGTTCATGTGTTAAATTTTATCCTAATATACACTGTAAAAAATATTTCTTTGTTCAGAAGTTATAACCAATAATGCGTTTGCCTGCTTGGGGTCATCACGCAGACGGAGATTAGAGTGTATTTAGACTTGCTCTTTGTCTTTATTCGACATATCTGGTGGGTCAATTAGTCCCTGTAGGGTTTGCAGATGCTTTCAGGGCGAAATAGTAAGTTGATTTTTTCCCTAAGATCCCCACATATCTACACTTATATAATAAAATGTCTTGATAACTTAGTATTTATCACTTGCGTCATCCATGGTCTTGGCCTATATTTACCTAGATATTCTATGGTAAGCTTTGTAACCACTTTCTTTGGTGATGTCTTATGTTATCCATGACAATCAATTTAATACAGCCCTATTATTATGATTATTTAAACATATAAACATTGGCACAAGAAGGCACCAAGTAGATATGCGCCACATAAATCATTCGATTTGTGTGAAGACTGTGATACTGCCCGGGTGCCCAGACCGAAGCAGGTGGTTTTCTTAAGGAGCCACACCCCGAGCCTTTGACCTAAAGGTCTAACCCACAAGGCAGTGGAGCATCGTAAGGAGATGCAGTCCCATGTAAGCCGGTGACCAACGGTTGCTTCATACACCATTTGTTTCCGCAGGATACTGGAGCCCATGTGCACCATTGGTTTGAAATCCGGTTAAAGTGCCGGACATTCGCTTTTCGTCCTCTCAATTTCGTAGACAATACCCGTGGTGTGAGAAGGCAGTGAGTAGGACTTCCCTGACAGAGGCTGTATACGCGTGGCCGTGTGAAAGCATTTCGAGAGGGAAGGCGGGCCCACCCCACTCTCGGCCATACCAGGGCATTAGGAGGTCTCACAGTTATATAATATACCCTTGTGGGCCAGGGTAATTTTACATTGGTTCTCAGGAGAACCAAATACCATCCAGACTTTCACGTAAAAACCCAAACAGTGCAGCTCAACCCCGTTTAGCAGGGGAACCAGACACCGTACAGGCTTTAACGCTACAGTCTGAATAGTACAGCTCAATCCTGTGGCGCAACTACACAGGTACCAAGCACCCTGGTGGACCACAGCCCTAAACAATATCAGAGGAACAAATAAGTAACTTCATGTTCTAGTCACTGAACCTCAGAAATATGTAAACGTAGACCCATGAGAACTATATAGTGCTTTCATAAATCCGAGGCACCTCAAATTGAATATACCAGACTTTAAAATAATTTTATGTTGCAGTGATTCTCAGCAAATAACAAATCAAGAGAATCAGCTTTTTTATCAGTTATGGGTTTTGTGGCTAGTGAAAAGATAACTAATTGATTTCCAAGCTAGAAAGCTTAGACTGTATATAACTTCCGGTCAAACGTTTTAGGTATTTAATATTAACTCCCTAACGGTGACGATCATTTCGGAATTAGATGAGGTGTGCTAAGCACTCAAATCACAGGCTTGTCGGAAACTCCGTTTTTAAGTTGATATTTTTGTTGTTTCCAGGAAAATTGGAATGTGGTAAGTCTTTCACTACTAGTTAACATGGACTGGATGGTGTGTTTAAGGAAATTACTGATATTCAATGTATGATTTGTATGGTAGTTGCAAAAAATGTTGCGTGCGACGTAGTTGCGTGGCAGTCCAACTCACCACATCTGATACGAGAATGGTAAGTAAAGATCTTGAGGTAAAAAGAGAAAATGGATTTACAAATGATAATTCTAAATCCAGGAATAACCCAACAGAAAGTGAAAAAAACCAGTGATGAAGATGAAAAGAATGATACGTTCATGGTTCAGAAGAAGAGTAAATATATCTGCATTGACACTACTGATTTTAGGTGATCGCCTTTAGCTTCTGTGGTAGTACTGGCCTGATATCTTACTTATGTTAGTGATTATTATCTTTGGTTCTGGCTAATGAAAAGTTTGCGTGTTAATAAGTCCCAGGTGTACATGTTTTGTTTTTAGCCGATGATGCAGTAGCGAATGTTATTTGGGAAATCTAAGCTACAATGACTATTTCGTCTCGATAATAAACTTTTTTAATGCTGAAATAAAAATTTGTCATTTCACTATTGAGTTCAGTGCTGTATATTCTTTTTTGTCTTTAAACCATTAAAGTGCGAAGTTCAAGGGAATGGTGTTAAAGTTACTATTGCTATTCACTTAGTAATCAATCATCATGATTTCCAAGGGAAACTTGCTTATGGATCTTATTGTGTTGTTAGCCAAGGGTATTCTACGTCCAGCTTAATTCTATTTCAGCATGGATGTTTTTTATGGATTAGTTTTTGTCACCAACATAAATATTATTCACTTTCTTGGAGATTATCCGATCTTTAACGTATTCAGATACCTGTTTAGATATTAAACTAGCAAATATAAGTTTTTCCATGCTTTCTGTACTTATTAAGTATGGTATTTGATCCTGCCCATCCCTAACATAAATGTAGAAAGCGAATTGATTAATCTCTTTTTCCGTTCTGCTTATACAAGTGTTGACGCTGATTCTCATAGAAAAAACATAGAGCTACACAAGTAAGCCACTTCACCTGTAAGACAAAATCTTTGAACTTAAAGTGTGCTCTTAAATGGTTTGCATCTAGAATTGCTTTGAAATACTGTTAGAAGGTATTACAGCTAAAACTGATCAATTATTCTGTAGTGTTCTACATTATTATTTGTGTTTGTGGGTCACAAGAGCTTGTGTATTCGATTAGTGCTTTATTTTCTGCTAAGATTATTCTTTTTTTAATGAATTTTTTCATCTTAGCAATTTTGTTACTTGTAGATGATTAATCCCACCAAATGTATTCATCCAATTGTTTATTGGGGTCAGTCGGAAGAATATGTATTTCTTTCTATTAAAGTAGCCAATGCAAATGTATGTTCACCTTGATCTTCAATCAGTAGATGCTTAGGTTGATTCGATTGTTATCAACCAAGAAGACTTTATGTTTTCTGCAATGGGCACTGGAGCTGATGGTGTTAATAAATATGAATTTTCTATCTCATATTATCTCCCTATAATCCCTGAAGTAAGTTCTTATGTTTAAGATGTATTCTACTTGATTTTATTCTCTTTTTATTTCTCACCGCTAAATTTCTATCAAGCTGCTTCATCGTTACAATAATTAAACCTGCTTATTTCATTTCAGCTTGATTATCCTGAAAGAAACACTTGCTTCCGTGATTAGACCGTTCCTTTTTCTATGATGATAAAATGATTTGCAACTTGATCACCTACATCATAGAAAGAAAATTCAGAGGTGATTATGAGTTAAAAGCCTTCAACAAATAAATATCTTAACGAAACAAAAAGGAAAAGTTGCCAGTAATGATAAAAAAGAAGAAATACCAAAACAAATGAAAAGAAGTGAATTGTGTTTTTGCCATACGTAATAGGCTGTTCGGTTTTACGCTAATCTGTTAGGTGATATAATTACTACAGAACTCATTTTGAGCCATTTCTAAGTGATCTTAATCAACACGTATCATTTTATAATTTGTCAATAAATCTCAGACTTTCTCATATGGTTTAAATCAATGACCGATGACTTGTTTGTCTAACAAGTTTAATTCGATATTTCAAATCGGAAATGATAGTGGATGTGTATGAATATCATGCATCCCAAACACCATGTGAATTCTATCCCGTAATTCACCAACTCACAAGTTTAAGATAAGTAAAACTAATCTACATCAATTTGTCATAGAATTTAAGTATAGTTGGTGGCTGTATTGTTAGACATGAATTATTAAATTGTAATCTCTAGGATTGAAATATGATAACTCACAACTCTACTACTGCTCCTTAATGTTTCACTAATTATATAGCTCGTTCCCTTTTTTATACCTTTAATACATTATAAACGAGTATCATATTTTTAAGTGAGTACAAGCTCTATGTAACATGAGTATTCTTATCACTGAAATACCACCTTATGTTTGATTAACATAATTTACTTATTTAAAAACGTTTATCTCACTAATATTATAACCTGTGTATTAACTTTTTAGGCAAGTCGATATGTCGTTACAAGTTTATCTGTTAATGTTAAATTACGAAAAGAACTTAAAGATTCATGGTCAAGGTTAACGTTAGGAAATCAGCGTCTACCTTGGGTTCGTCCTGATTTCGATCGTTATCAGTTTAATGACTCTGATTTGGAAAATAATGAAGAAGAATGTCTCAATGTTAACGTTGTACATCCATCAAAAGAGGAGAGAGTAAGTTTATTCTTTATCCATTGTTTATATTTATTCAAAAAAATCACTTAATAAAATATATGAATAGAAATAATCTTTATCAAGGATTGTTTTTATGAGTACATTTCTTTTGCTTAGTGGTTTTCTCATCGTAATAGATCAATCAGATTGATGGAATTTCGATCAGGAGAATTACGACAACTTGAATCAATGTAGAGCACTATACCAGGACTGTTACTTGTCTAACTAATCCATTAGGCTTTAACGTTGATGAAATACACATTAATTTAAATATCATAATCGAAATACTCAGACATTTTAACAAAATTTCTGTATACTGATACAAAATACAGTGTTTTTGCTGATGTCCAGAACGGCAACAAGAACTTTAAAGTTAAACCATATAGCTCGGAGATCATAATCTGTTCACTTAATGGGGAAATTGTCTTAGTCATTACAAAACAAGGTGCTACGATTAGTTTTGATCTTTATCTAGTTTGACCTAGTAATTAAAGCGGTTTGAAAAATCAGTTGCTACACATGTAAATTATGTTTTGTAGTGAATTAAAACACCGTCTATTTTGCAAACATCAAAATCAAGTAGCATGCAAAGGTTTCAGGTATGTTTGACCGTAAGTCTATTCCCAATAGAACAGACAAATCGTATGTTTTATTCAACCGAATTGGT